TGTCGACCCTGAAAGGGTTAAGTCTAAACAGGTGAAAAGTACTGGTTACCAATGTTTTGCTGATGGTGGTGCCAACTACTGGCAGTCTTTGAAGTTTCTCCTTACTGTTATACAGTGGACCCCCGACATTCGATGGCATCAACATTTGATAAATCCGACATTCGATGAATTTTAACGCAAAAATTTCGCCTCGACATTTGATGCAAAACCCGACATTCGATACGATTCGTATGAGACATGTCCACGTGCGGCCTGAACTGCCCCAGTGTGTGCCAGTGTTTACAAGCCAGCCAGTGTGCGCGCATCTAAGAATACATTCGGTACATTCCATATTATCCATATTATCACTGTTTTTGGTGCTTGTTTCTGCAAAATAAGTAACCATGGGCCCCAAGAAAGCTTCTAGTGCCAACCCTTCGAGAAAAAAGGTGCTAATGACTATTGAAATGAAGAAAGAGATAATTGCAAAGTACGAAAGTGGAGTGCGTGTGTCGGAGTGCATGATGATTTGGTAAAGAAATTGCCTGCAACTAGTGGTGATGTGAGTGAAGTTAAGGCCAGCAAAGGTTGGTTTGAAAGATTTAAGAATCGTAGTGGCATACACAGTGTGGTAAGGCATGGTGAGGCTGCCAGTTCAAGTCCTACTGGAAGAGGATTCCCCTTCTAAACACTAACACCATCCACACTCTTCCCTCCTCTCATCCCATCAATCATCACCAGATATTCATTAAAAGTAAGTGTCAATTATTCTATTGCTATTAATCTATTGTTATTGTTGTTATTGTAATTATTCTATTGCATTAAACTTAATATTTCATGTGGTAAATTTTTTATACTTTTGGGTGTCTTGCACAGATTAATTTGATTTCCATTACAGTGGACCCCCGCATACCGTTGGCATCACATAACGATTAATCCGCATACCGCTTGCTTTAATCGCAAAAATTTTGCCTCGCATACCGCTTAAAAACCCGCTCACGATGTTCGTCCGAGACGCGTCCAATGTGTGCCCTCAGCCAGCCTCACATGTGCCGCCCGTGCCATTGTTTACCAGCCAGCATCCGCGGTAACATCCAAGCATACAATCAGAACATTTCGTATTATTACATTGTTTTCGGTGCTTTATCTGGAAAATAAGTGACCATGGGCCCCAAGAAAGCTTCTAGTGCCAACCCTACAGCAATAAGGGTGAGAATTCCAATAGAGATGAAGAAAGAGATCATTGATAAGTATGAAAGTGGAGTGCGTATTGCCGACCTGGCCAGGTTGTACAAGAAACCCCAATCAACCATCGCTACTATTGTGGGCACCAGAAAGGCAATCAAGGAAGCTGTTCTTGCCAAAGGTTTAACTGTGTTTTCGAAACAAAGATCGCAAGTGGATGGAAGATGTTGAGAGACTCTTATTGGTGTGGATAAATGAAAAACAGCTAGCAGGAGATAGCGTCTCTCAAGCGATCATAAGCGAAAAGGCTAGGAAGTTGCATGAGGATTTAATTAAAAAAATGCCTGCAACTAGTGCTGATGTGAGTGAATTTAAGGCCAGCAAAAGTTGGTTTGAGAGATTTAAGAAGCGTAGTGGCATACATAGTGTGATAAGGCATGGTGAGGCTGCCAGTTCGGACCACAAAGCAGCTGAAAAATATGTGCAGGAATTCAAGAAGTACATAGACAGTGAAGGACTGAAACCTGAACAAGTGTTTAATTGTGATGAACAGGCCTGTTTTGGAAGAAAATGCCAAGCAGGACCTACATTACTCAGGAGGAAAAGGCACTCCCAGGACATAAGCCTATGAAAGACAGGCTTACTTTGTTGATGTGTTCCAATGCTACTGGTGATTGCAAAGTGAAGCCTTTATTAGTGTATCACTCTGAAACTCCCAGACCGTTCAGGCAAAAGAATGTCCTCAAGGAGAATTTGTGTGTGCTGTGGAGGGCAAACAGTAAGGCATGGGTCACTAGGGACTTTTTCTATGACTGGTTACACCATGCATTTGCCCCCAATGTGAAAGATTACCTAACTGAAAAGAAATTAGAACTTAAGTGCCTCCTGGTGTTAGACAATGCCCTGGTCATCCTACAGACATGGCAGAGCGACTTTATGGGACATGAAATTCATTAAAGGTGAAGTTTTTGCCTCCTAATACCACTCCTCTCCTGCAGCCCATGGACCAGCAGGTTATTGCAAACTTCAAAAAACTGTACACAAAAGCTCTGTTTGAAAGGTGCTTTGTAGTGACCTCAGAAACTCAACTGACTCTAAGAGAGTTTTGGAGAGAGTACTTTAATATCCTCAATTGTGTAAACCTTATAGGTAAGGCTTGGGAGGGAGTGACTAAGAAGACCTTGAACTCTGCTTGGAAGAAACTGTGGCCAGAATGTGTAGACAAAAGGATTTTGAAGGGTTTGAGGCTAACCCTGAGAGGATTATGCCAGTTGAGGAATCCATTGTGGCATTGGAAAGTCCTTGGGGTTGGAGGTTAGTGGGGAGGATGTGGAAGAGTTGGTGGAGGAGGGCAATGAAGAACTAACCACTGATGAGCTGATAGATCAACTTCAAGAGCAAGAGGCCAGACCTGAGGAAACTGGTTCAGAGGAGGGGAGAGAGAAATTGAAGAAGTTGCCTACTACAAAGATTAAGGAAATCTGTGCAAAATGGCTTGAAGTGCAAACCTTCATGATGAAAATCACCCTCACACAGCTATTGCAAGCCGTGTTGGCAACCTGTACACTGACAATGTTGTGAAACACTTTAGGGAAGTCATAAAGGAACGAGAGGTACAGGCCACTATGGACAGATATGTTGTGCGAAAGAAGTCCAGTGACTCTGAAGCTGTCCTAGTGGCATTAAAAGAAGAAGGGAAGTAACCCCAGAAAAGGACTCGACACCTCAAGTCTTAATGGAAGGGGATTCCCCTTCTAAACACTAACCTCTCTCTCCCCTCCTCCCATCCCATCAATCATCACCAGATCTTCAATAAAAGTAAGTGTCATGTAACTGTGCATGCCTTTTTCAGTTTGTGTGTATTAAAATTAACATTTCATGTGGTAAAAAATTTTTTTTTTCATACTTTTGGGTGTCTTGCACGGATTAATTTGATTTCCATTATTTCTTATGGGGAAAATTCATTCGCATACCGATCATTTCGCATAACAATGAGCCCTCTTGCACGGATTAAAATCACTATGGGGGGGTCCACTGTATTTCTTATGGGGAAAATTAATTCGACTTTCGATATTTTCGACATTTGATAGCTCTCAGGAACGGATTAGTATCGAATGTTGAGGGTCCACTGTAATTATTATTATTACTATTATACTGTATTATTATTATTGTTATAATAATAATAATAATTATTATTATTATTATTATTATTATTATTATTATTATTAGTGCGTACGTGGTGAGGGGCTCTTGATCTAGGGAATTGGATCTGTGTTCCAGTTCCCTAAATTAAGCCTGTATGCCTTCCATCATCCCCCCCACAAGTGCTTCCCCATTATAATAATAATAATACAAATAATATAATATGATAACATAATAATAATAATATAATAATAATATGTATAATAATGTACTATAATAATAATTATAATAACAGACAGCTTTGAAAGGCTGTCACTAGATGGCAGTGAATGCCACAATAATGCTGGGGCAGTTATGGCTGCCTCCACTTGTCACATAATGACAAATTAATTCATTTTAGAGTATATATCAAGTTTCTATGTTATTTATATTGTTTATTATGTCATACTGGATCAATTGTGATAGATAAATTAGCCATAGAGTTGATATTACCATTATATTGAAGTGTATTTTTCCTGCCTCTGAGAGCAGGAATTCCGCTGGAATGGATTAATGGCTTTTCAATAAATTTAAATGAAGAAAATTGACTCAGCATACGAACAAATCAGGATACGAACAAGGTCATGGAACGGATTAAGCTTGTAAGCCGAGGTTCCACTGTAATATATATACTACACTGCATATAAACATGCAATGTTTATATGCTATTGAGTGGAGAGTCAAGTGGAGAGTAAACATTACGTTTTCTCTGATTCAGCGTTAGAGAAAACTGTGAATCTGGCGTCTCGCCCAGTAACTGCCCTTCATATGCGTTTGTTTACAATTCTGGCATGAATTATTCATTACCTCTCCCTTTGTTTATGATGGAATCTACAGGTAATTGTTAGAAATTATTAAACTCAGTGAACATGGTAATAACATGGCTGTGTAGTGTAATAATATGGCTGTGTAGTGTAGCCCAGGGAAGCCACACTACACAGAGGGGAGAGGGAGTTGGGGATTCCCATCTCCCTCTCCCTTCCTCGCTTTCTTCAATACACCAACAAGAGTCTTCAATAAAGGTATGTAATGATGTAATGTTCATTTATCATTAAAATTTGTGCTTTATATTCATTTCTCATTGTTTTCTGTGTGTAAAACTATAGTTAATCTTTAAAAAATGTATTTTTTGTTGTTAATATATTTGGGTGTCTGAAGAAGATTAATTGGATTTACATTAATTCTTATGAGAAATATTATTTCGGTTTTCAGCCTTTTCGAATTTAGGCCGACCTTCTGGAATGGATTACGGCCAATAACCAAGGGTCCACTGTATTATTATTATTATTATTATTAATTTTTTTGGTGCCTTCACCATCACTATAACTACTAGGTGCCATGATTAATACCCAGAGACAAGAATAGGTGATAATATGATGCAAAATAGACCAATGACTAAAAAGAGAGACCACTGTAAGTGTCCAGCCAGACTGATTAGTTTGTTTTACACCAAACAGTGATGCTAGGCTCCTCCCATCAAAACAATGGTCTCACAAGGGGTGGCAGGACACTCCATAACGATAATGCTGGTGTGCCATAATGGTGCACCGCTACTGTAAATGAAAAAAGTAAATTTATTTAAATCACAGAGTAGTGAAAACATGAGCTTTGATTATGCAACTTATGGGGGTTTACTGATCATTTTTTAATCTTACCATCTGCCATGTGTTTTTGATCTTGACTCTGAGAACTCTCAAGCGACCTTCTTTAATCTCCCTGTAACGACATACTAGCAGCTGCTTGTCCTGACCCAGTAGTTCTTGACAGTAGTTGAAATCTACATCTTCGTCCACCTGGAAATACATACAAGGGGTTTTTATTAGTATGTACATAGTAGTAGTAGTGCAGTAGTACTAGTTTTAGTAGCTAGCAGTACTAGATTTAATAGTAGCTGGTGTATAATGACATTAAGCGCCCCATGGCCTGGTGGCAAAAGCTCTCACTTCACACGGTGAGGGTCCAGGTTCGATTCCTGGCAAAGGGGTGGAAACATTGGGCATGTTTCCTCACACAGGTTGTCTATGTTCACCCATCAGTGAAATGGGGACCTGGGTGTTAGCCAACTGGTGTGGGTCACATCCTGGGACAAAACTGACCTAATTTGCCCAAAATGCTCTGCATAACAAGGGGCTTTCTATATAGTAGTATGTCACTGATGTCAGCTATGGTCTGTATACCTTGTACATGTACTTGTAGTAATTAACCCTTTGACTGTCGCGGCCGTATATATACATCTTACGAGGTACCATGTTTGACGTATATATACTCATAAATTCTAGCGGCTTCAAATCAAGAAGGAGAAAGCTGGTAGGCCCACATGTGAGAGAATGGGTCTGTGTGGTCAGTGTGCACCACATAAAAAAAATCCTTGAGCACGCAGTGCATAATATGGAAAACATATTATAGAAAAAGAGATGATTTTGATTGATTTTACTATAAAAAGAACCTAGAAATTGATCTCAAAGTAGAAGAAATGTTTGATTTTTGCCGATGTTCAAAAGTAAACAAATGATGTCATTTTCCAATAAATGTCCAACTAGCCATTCTAATATGCAGTCATGAATGGGTTGATGTTATTTATATAATTATTACAGTATTGCAGTAGTCAGCATAATAGTAATTCTTCTATTTTTTGTTTGAATAAAAATTCAAAATAGAAAGCAAGAGTAATATCAGAGGGGCCTGGAGACATGACTGATGAACAAAGAAAATGTTATTTTAGAGCCAGGAATGTCTGCATTGTTCATTCTGGACCCTATTTTGAAATTGTCATATTTTTTAATTTTCGTGAAATTGGCCAAATTGCAAATTTCTGACCATGTTATTGGGTAGTTGAAATTGGTAAATGGGCAGTTTCTTGTAATCAATTGAGAGAAAAAATGGAGTTCTAAAGAAATAGCTATGAGTTTGGTCGACTGGAACAATGGAATTAGCCGAAAATAGGGCTCAAAGTGGGCGAAATCGCCGATTTGTAAATATTGCCAAGGTTGCTAAATTTGCGAGAGCGTAATTCCGTCAGTTTTCATTCAATTTCGTTTTTTTGTGTGTCATTACAATCGGGAAAAGATTCTCTATCATTTCACAAGAAAAAATAATTTTTTTTTTTTTTAAATTTTGCGACACCAGGAGACACCTCAGGATTGGGGGTTGCGACAGTCAAGGGGTTAAAGATATGATGAAAACTGTACAGTAGACCGTCGTTTAACACAGTATGTAGTTACATTCCTGAAAATGCTGTGATAGTTAAAACCGTGTTAGACAAACTGAAGAACTTAGGGGGGAAAATAGGGTTACATTCCTGGGAGCCCCCAAAAAGCTAAACAACTTTTTTTTAGACCAACAGATCTTACAAAAATAAGAGTGAATATGCAATTGTAATTCATTATCATGATATATTATGTTGTTTTTACTGCTTAACGCTTTCAGGGTCCGTGCCGTAGTTCTACGGCTTTGAGTTGAGGGTCCAAACTGTTGATCTATCGCCATGAACTCGGCTCACTCTAATAAGCTGTGAGCGGTAAATTTGGGCCTAGATATGAGAGAATACATCTTTGTGGTATAGGTGCACCACATAAACCAAATCCTGCAGCACACAGTGCATAATGAGAGAAAAAACTGAGATTGCAATTTTCGATTAAAACAGTGACTTTGCAGTGGTTTTTCTTATTTATTTTTATAGGTGTATTTGTGATTTCTTGGTCCCATTGGATAGAATGGAAAATATATTACAGAAATAGAGATGATTTTGATTGGTTTTAATACTGGAAATGGCTTGAAACTGAGCTCAAAGTAGCAGAAATGTTAAATTTTTGCCGATGTTCAAGAGTAAACAAATGACCTCACACATCTAATACATGCCAGCTGGTGGGTCTAACATACGTTCACAAATGTGGAGATATTATACAATTATTGCAATATTGCACAACAGTAAATCTTCTATTTTTTGGTTTGAATAAAAATTCATTATTTGAATAAAAAATCAAAATGGAATTCATTTGTAAAGCCTGAAAATGTAACAAATAAACAGAGAAAAATGTTACTTTTTTGCCAGGAATGCCTGCATTGTTTATTCTGGTCTCTATTTTGAAATTGGAATATTCTGAACTTTGCGTTAAACTGGCCAAATTACCAATATTCGATCACTTTATTTTGTAGTTGAAACAGTTGACTTGGTGATTAATCATGCTCAATCAATAGAATGGAAGTAATACTAGTGAAATAGCTAAGAATTTGGTCGACTGGAATAGTGTAATTGGCCTAAAATAGGAGTCAAAGTCGGCAAAATCGCCGATGCGTAAATGTCACTGACACATCAAAATTTGCGAGAGCATAATTTCGTCAATTTTCCATCAAATTTCGTATTTTTTGTTTTATTACCTTCATAAAAAGATTCTCTACCATTTCATAAGAAAAAAACAACAATTTTTTTTTGAAAATTCTTGGACCCTGGTGCACACTTTGAAAGTTGGCCTCTGGACCCTGAAAGGGTTAAGATTACATAATCAACAGAAATAATAGTATTTCTTACCTTAAACTGTGGTTGCTGGTGGGAGCATTCCTTCTGTGATATAACTTTGCAGGGTTCAAGAACATTCCTACTCCTGTGATATAACTTTGAAGGGTTTCAAGAACATAAGAACATAAGAAAGGAGGAACAATGCAGCAGGCCTGTTGGCCCATACTAGGCAGGTCCTTCACAAATCCAACCCACTAACAAAATAACTACTACCCAAGCAATAAGCCTTGATAATTCTATTTATTCATGTGCAAGTCCCATTCAAATCCAACCCATCTCACTCATGTATTTATCCATCCTAAATTTGAAACTACTCAAGGTTTTAGCTTTGATCACCCTACTAGGCAGACTGTTCCACTCATCAACTACCCTATTACTAAACCAATACTTTCCTATATCCTTTCAAAATCTAAACTTGTCTAATTTGAATCCATTATTGCGGGTTCTCTCTTGAAGGGATATCCTCAAAACCTTATATACATCCCCTTTGTTAATACCCATCTTCCACTTATGCACTTCGATCATGTCTCCCCTCATTCTTCGTCTTACAAGTGAATGTAGTTTAAGAGTCTTCAATCGTTCTTCGTACGGAAGATTTCTAATGCTATGTATTAATTTAGTCATTCTACGCTGGATGTTTTCTAGCAAATTTACATTTGCTAGAAAACACTGGTCTCCACATTACATTCTGTAATGTGGAGACCAGAACTGAGCTGTGTAATCTAGGTGAGGCCTTACTAATGATGTATAAAGCTGTAAAATAACCGCTGGTCTTTTGTTGCTTACACTTCTAGATATAAATCCCAGTAATCTGTTTGCTTTATTACGTACGCTGAGGCACTGCTGTCTTGGCTTAAGGTTGCTGCTTACCATAACCCCCAAGTCCTTTTCGCAATCTGTATGGCTAAGTTTTACGTTATTTAACTGATAAATACTAGGGCTATGGACACTCCCGAGCTTCAGAACCTTGCATTTATCTACAATGAACTGCATCTGCCACTTTTCTGCCCAGGAATTGAGATTGTCTAAATCCTCCTGAAGTTCCGTGACATCTACATTTGAGTCCATTATCCTACCTATCTTTGTGTCATCAGCAAATTTGCTCATATCACTAGTAATTCCCTCCTCAAGGTCATAGATATATATTATAAACAACAACAGGCCCAAGACTGATCCCTGAGGAACGCCACTTGTTACAGACCACCACTCGGATTTAACCCCATTAACCCTTTCAGGGTCGAGAGGCCCTCTCCTAAACTCGTTCTCAGGGTCAAAAATTTTTCAGAAAAAAAAAAATTATTTTTTCTTATGAAATGATAGAGAATCTTTTCCCAATCATAATGACACCAAAAGTATGAAATTTGATGTAAAACTTACGGAATTATGCTCTAGCGAAGTTAGCGGTCTCGACGATGTTTACGCATCGGCGATTTTGCCCACTTTGAGTCCTATTTTCGGTCAATTCCAGTGTACTACTCCACAAAAATCATAACTATTTCACTAGAACTCCATTTTTGCTATCCAATGAGTACAAGAAACCACCCATTTACCGATTTCAACTATCCAATACAGTGGTCAGAATTTAGCAATTTTGCCAATTTCACACAAATTTCAAAAGATGCCAATTTCCAAATAGAGTCCAGAATAAACAAGAAAGACATTTCTGGCACTAAATTAATATTTCCTCTGTTCATTAGTCACGACTCCACGCCCCACTTACATTCTTTTGCTTTCAACTTTGAATTTTTATTCTCACAAAAAAATAGAAGATTTACTGTTATGCAGAGTACTACATTAGTGTAGAAATGGTATAAATAATATCAGCGCACTTGTGAAAGAATATTAGACTCACCAGTTGACGTGTATTGGACGCTTAGCATGATTTATTTACTTTTAAACTTTGGTAAAAATCGAACATTTCTGCTACTTTGAGCTCAATTTCAAGATACTTTTCATTGTAAAACCAGTCAAAATCATCTCAATTTCTGTAATATGTCTTCCATTCTATAAAATGAGACCAGGAAAACTAGAATACAACCATAAATACCATACGAAAATACAATGCAAATTCGGTGTTTTAATAAAAAAAACACGGTCAAAGTTTTTTTTTCTCATTACACACTGTGTGCTGCAGGATTTTTTTTATGCTGCACACACTGACAACATAGATCCATTCTTTCATATGTATGCCTACCAGCTTTCTCTCACTAGATTTGAGGGCGCTAGAATTTAGGCGTACTAGTACGTCAAAAACCCTGGTGTGTAAGCCGCACTAGTACGTCCGAAACCCTGAAAGGGTTAAACCAAGACAGCAATGCCTAAGCGTACATAATAAGGCAAATAGATTATTGGGATTTATATCAAGAAGTGTAGGCAACATAAGTCCAGAGGTTATACTGCAGCTTTATACATCATTAGTAAGGCCTCACCTAGATTATGCAGCTCAGTTCTGGTCTCCATATTACAGAATGGATATAAATTCATAGAAAAAATTCAGCGAAGAATGACTAAATTAATACATAGCATTAGAAATCTTCCGTACGAAGAACAATTGAAGACTCTTAACCCTTAAACTGTCAAGCAGATCTATGTTCACATGCGTAGTGCTCCAAAAGTAGATCTATGTTTTTTTTACATACAGTGGAACCTCAAAAATCGAACTTAATCTGTTCCAGGAGCTAGTTCTAATTTCGAAAAGTCTGAAATTCGAAGCAATATTTCCCATAAGAAATAATGGAAATACAATTAATCCATTCCAGAAACCCAAAAATATTCACACAAAAAATACATTTTATAGAGATTAATTACAGTTTTACATACAACAAATACTATAGTTTTTAATTATGTATAGTAATACATATAAAATAACATTTTTACTTACCTTTATTGAAGATTGGTGATGGCATCTGGAAGATAGGGAGGAGGAGAGAGGGAGTTGGGGTTAGTGTTTGGAAGGAGAATCCCCCTCCATGAGGACTTCAGGTAAAGCCCTCTCTGGGGTTACTTCCCTTCTCTGTCTTTTAATGCCACTAGGACCAGCTTGAGAGTCACTGGACCCGTCTCACAAAATAATTGTCCACAGTCCTCTCTTTCTGGCGCCTCTTTAACATTTCCCTAAAATGGGACATGGTTCTGTCACTGAACTTGTTGCAAAGATGGCTTGTTTCAGCTTGCTCAGAGTGGTACTTCTCCACAAACATTTGGACATAATTCCACTTGGCACAAATCTCCTTAATCTTTGAAGAAGGCACCTCATCCACTCCCTCTTCCTCCTCCTCTGAAGCAAGTTCCTCAGCTGTGGTCTGATACTGTTCCAGATGAAGCTCTTCCAGCTCTTCAGTGGTTAGCTCTTCCCTGTGGTCCTCCACCAACTCTTCCACATCCTCACCACTCACCTCCAACCCCAGGGTGTTCCCCAATGCCACAATAGAGTCCACAACAGGCAGAGGGGCAGCTGGGTCAGGGTCAGCCTCAAACCCTTCAAAATCCCTCTTTTGGACACAATCTGGCCACAATTGTCTCCAAGCAGAGTTCAAAGTCCTGGAAGTCACTCCCTCCCAAGCCTTACCTATAAGGCTTATGGAGTTGTAGATGTTGAAGTGATTCCTCCAGAACTCTCTTAGCGTCAACTTAGTGTCTGTGGTCACTTCAAAGCACTTTTCAAACACTGCTTTTGTGTAGAGTTTTTTAAAGTTAGAAATGACCTGCTGGTCCATGGGCTGGGTGAGAGGAGTGGTGTTAGGAGGCAAGAACTTCACTTTTATAAAACTGAAATCCTTAGACAAGAGGTCTAATAAGTTTGGAGGATGAGCAGGAGCATTGTCCATTAACAGGAGGCACTTGAGTGGCAATTTCTTTTCCTGGAGGTATTTTTTCACACTGGGGCCAAACACTTCATAGACCCACTCTTTGAAAATTTGTCTTGGGACCCATGCCTTATGATTAGCTTTCCACAAGACACATAACTTGTTCTTAAAGACATTGTTTTTCTTAAACACTCTGGGATTTTCTGAATGATACACAAGTAAAGGCTTCACTTTAACCCTTAAACAGTCCAAACGTATATATATGTTCACGCGCGTAGCGCCCCAAACGTATATATACGTTTTCTTTGTCATTCATTCAACATTGCCACGATAAGCCTGAGTCACCTAGACATGAGAGAATGGGTGTTCGCACTCACTGTGCGCCATATTAAAATAACTGGGGAAGCCTGGGTACCATATGCTCTTTTTTCCTTTTAAAAAAAAAAAAAGATTTTTTTTTCTCAAAAAATTTGGGGCACTATGAGAGTGAATGTACATATACATTTGGACCGTTTAAGGGTTAAAATCACCACTAGCATTAGCACAGAATAAAAGAGTAAGCCTGTTTTTCATAGGCTTGTGTCCTGGCAGTGCCTTTTCCTCCTGTGTGATGAAGGTCCTTTTTGGCATTTTCTTCCAAAACAAGCCTGTTTCATCACAATTAAACACTTGTTCAGGTTTGAATTCCTCACTGTCTATGTACCCCTTAAACTCCTGTACAAACTTCTCAGCCGCTCGTTTGTCTGAACTGGCTGCCTCACCATGTCTTACAACATTGTGTATGCCACTACGCTTCTTAAATCTGTCAAACCAGCCTCTTCTGGCCTTAAATTCACTATCAGCACTGGTTCCAGGAGTTTTCTGTACCAGATCAGCATGCAACTTCCTTGCCTTTTCGCAAATAATTGTCTCTGAAACACTATCACCTGCAATTTCTTTATCCTTGATCCACACCAGCAACAACTTCCCAACCTCTTCAATTATTTGTGGTTTTTTTTTGGTTAGCATATTAACACCTTTCGCAACATCAACTTCCTTGATTTGTTCTTTCTTTGCCAGGATAGAACCGATGGTCGACTTATTTTTCCCACACATCCTGGCAAGCTCAACAAGTCTCACACCACTCTCATACTTCTGTATTATTTCCTTCTCCACATCTATGGTGTTTCTCACTTTCTTTACCACAGGGGTACCACTAGCAAGTTTCTTTGGGCCCATGGCAGCTTATTTCACAGTCTCACAAGCACTAAACACAACAAAATAATTGTAAAATGTGTGAATGAAAGGGCAGGTTAGTGTTCACTCAAGCATAAACAAAGCTAGACTGCTCACGGCGCCTGCACGGGACGCGGACAGAGCGGGCCGGCAGACAGGTCCCGTACCCGGTGATCCGAAATTAGGGGCGCGTTCGATAATTGGGACACAGTTTGTCCGAAAAAATGGTCTTATTTTCGAAACGTTCGATATGTGATACGTTCGATTTTTGAGGTTCCACTGTATTTTCAAATATAACAAAAAAAAAAAAAAACGTAGATCAAAGTTTTTTTACACGTTTTCAAATGTAAAAAAAGAAAAGAAGATCTACTTTTTTTACATACTTTCAAATGTTGAAAAAACGTAGATCTACGTATGGACAGTTTAAGGGTTAAACTACATTCACTTGGAAGACGAAGAATGAGGGGAGACATGATTGAAGTGTACAAGTGGAAGATGGGTATTAACAAAGGGGATATAAATAAGGTCTTGAGGATATCTCTCCAAGAAAGAACCCACAATAATGGATTCAAATTGGACAAGTTAAGATTTAGAAAGGATATAGGAAAGTATTGGTTTGGAAATAGGGTAGTTGATGAGTAGAACAGTCTACCTAGTTGGGTTATTGAGGCTAAAACCTTGGGTACTTTCAAATTTAGGATGGATAAATACATGAGCAAGAGGGGTTAGATTTGAACAGGACTTGCATATATTAGTGAATAGAGTTATCAGACCTTATTTCTTGGGTAGCATTGAAAATTGGGTTGGGCAAATGTTTTGTTAGCAGGATGGATTGTAAAGAACCTGCCTAGTATGGGCCAACAGACCTGCTGCAGTGTTCCTCCTTTCTTATATGTAAATAAACTGTGATGCTGTCCCAATAACAGTTTATTCCCTGATGTGTGCCTATTCTTCGCAGTTTTTGTGAAGACATCATTTCAATCTTTTAATTACCTTGTAGAGCATTCTCTCTCTCCTGACAAGGTAAGTGTACTTCTGCACGCCCCTCACTTGGCTCTCTAAGATCTTCTCATCTGGCGCCATCTCACGTACACCTGCATACATGAGTGTGTGTGAGTCTTATTGAACACACCAGCCATCTACCACCAAGGTAAGGTCACCCCCAAACAAGAGGAAACATTCATCATCATTCATTCAATCACTCTCTTGCTATAAGTGTGCTGACTTCATAGTTGAGGTGACCCTTCCACTTGCATCATCTCCACGTTTCCTTCAGAGTGCAGGCACTGCATTTCCCACCTACATGACTGTAACATCCCCATTCTTCCTTCAGATCACAAGCACTGTATTTCCCACCTACAGTCCTGTAACATCTCCACCCATCCTTCAAAGCGCAGGCACTGTATTTCCCACCTACATGACTGTAACATCCCCATTCCTCCTTCAGAGCGCAAGCACTGTATTTCCCACCTACAGTCCTGTAACATCTCCACCCATCCTTCAGATGGGTGGAGATGTTACAGGACTGTAACATCTCTACACTTCATTCAGAGTGCAGGCACTGTATTTCCCACCTACAGGACTGTAACATCTCTACACTTCATTCAGAGTGCAGGCACTGTATTTCCCACCTACAGGACTGTAACATCTCTACACTTCATTCAGAGTGCAGGCACTGTATTTCCCACCTACAAGACTGTAACATCTCCACCCTTCATTCAGAGTGCAGGCACTGTATTTCCCACCTACAGGACTGTAATATCTCCACCCTTCCTTCAGAGTGCAGGCACTGTATTTCCCACCTACAGGACTGTAACATCTCCACCCTTCATTCAGAGTGCAGGCACTGTATTTCCCACCTACAGTCCTGTAATATCTCCACCCTTCCTTCAGAGTGCAGGCACTGTATTTCCCACCTACAGGACTGTAACATCTCCACCCTTCATTCAGAGTGCAGGCACTGTATTTCCCACCTACAGGACTGTAACATCTCCACCCTTCATTCAGAGTGCAGGCACTGTATTTCCCACCTACAGGACTGTAACATCTCCACCCTTCCTTCAGAGTGCAGGCACTGTATTTCCCACCTACAGGACAGTAACATCTCTACCCTTCATTCAGAGTGCAGGCACTGTATTTCCCACCTACAGGACTGTAACATCTCCACCCTTCATTCAGAGTGCAGGCACTGTATTTCCCACCTACAGGACTGTAACATCTCCACCCTTCATTCAGAGTGCAGGCACTGTATTTCCCACCTTTCAGGACTGTAACATCTCCACCCTTCCTTCAGAGTGCAGGCACTGTATTTCCCACCTACAGGACAGTAACATCTCCACCCTTCCTTCAGAGTGCAGGCACTGTATTTCCCACCTACAGGACTGTAACATCTCCACCCTTCCTTCAGAGTGCAGGCACTGTATTTCCCACCTACAGGACTGTAACATCTCCACCCTTCCTTCAGAGTGCAGGCACTGTATTTCCTGCCTACAGGACTGATCTCCAATTCCAGGTAACTGGTTTCCTTAAATCTCCCCCTTCCTGTCAATGTAGGTGTATTTAACTAAGGACTGACTATATGACCCCACCTCAGAGTGCAAGATTATTTTCCCGCACCTCAACTTAATCCCTTCCTTCAAACAAAAACTATGTTGTTTTCACCTCAGACAACTCTCATTCATTTGAAAAAAAAATTTTTCCTTTTTTTTAAATAGGCCGAACATCTTCATTTACCAGTAAGTAGGGGTATAACTAGTATATGAGAGATCCAGGGATCAAGACAGCACCTTGTCTGTAACCGGCCCCCATGTATCGGGCCTGTCCAACAGGGCTTTTTGTCTTGCTCCGCACAAAGAACAACAAATGCTTAAACAGCGAGGACATTTTTTTCAGTAATAACTGAGCTTTTAGGTGCCGTCGCGCAGCCCTGTCTGTGACACCCAAGGCCTATTGGATAGGCCCCCACTGTATTTTAGCTGGCAGGCAGTTGAACAGCCTTGGGGCTACACTTTTGGTGTGTGTGCTCTTAAAACGGGCTAGTGGAACCCCTCTATGTTTGCATAATCTGCTGAGCCCACATTACTTTTGTCCCTTTTACGTGCTAGTGGCATTCATGGTTGCAATTGCTGAGTCTATGCCTTCTAGGGGTTTTCTAAGTGTATATAATCCTTGGGACTAATCCCTCTGGATTCTAAGGTAAAATAATTTAGAATTTCCAAGTGTTCTAGGAACTGAAATTGATTTAATTTTCCAGTTTAATGCGTGCTTATGCAAGTTATCTTTACCATATTAGGTCAGCAAATTTCACCTGCCTTGAAAGGTGCTGTTAGTGTGCAGCAATATTCCAGCCTAGATAGAACAAGCAACCTGAAGAGTGTCATCATGGCTTGGCATCCCTGGTTTTCAGGGTTCTCATTATGCATCCCGTCAGTTATCTAGCAGATGCGATTGATACAGTTATAGTCCTTAAAGGTGAGATCTTCTGACATGATCACTCTCAGGTCTCTGACATTAGTTTCTCGCTCTGTTGTGTGGTTGGAATTTGCTTTATACTCTGATGAAGTTCTAATTTCCTCATGTTTTCCATATTGAAATAATTGAAATTTCTCATCATTGAACTTCATATTGTTTTCTGCAGCCCAGTTAAAGATTTGGTTGATGTCCACCTGGAGTTTTGCAGTGTCTTCAGTGGAGGACACTGTCATGCAAATTCAGGTGCCATCTGCAAAGGAAGACCCGGCGCTGTGGCTTATATACCTGTGAATGCCCGATATGAGGATAAGGAACAAGATGGGAGCAAGTACTATGCCTTCTGGAACAGAGCTTTTCACCGTAGCCGCCTCAGACTTTACTCTGTTGACTACTATTCTTTATGTTCTATTTGTTAGGAAATTATAAATCCATCTACCAACTTTTCCTGTTATTCCTTTATCACGCATTTTGTACACTATTACACCATGGTTACACTTGTCAAAGGCTTTTACAAAGTCTGTGTATATTACATCTGCATTCTGTCTGTCTTCTAGAGCATCCAGGACCTTGTCGTAGTGGTCCATTAGTTGGGACAGACAGAAGCGTCCTGCTCTAAACCCATGCTGCCTTGAGTTGTGGAACTGATGGGTATCTAGATGAGTGGTGATCTTGCTTCTTAGAGCCCTTTCAAAGATTTTTATGATATGGGATGTTAGCACTATCGGTCTGTAATTCTTTGCTATTGCTTTTCTGCTACCTATGTGAAATGGGGCTATGTCTGTTGTTTTTAACAAATGTGGGACAACCCGGTGTGAATGCTCCCTCTCCAAAGGATGTTAAGAGCACATGATAGGGGCTTATTGCAGTTCCTGTTGAACATAGAGTTCCATGAGTCTGGGCCTGGGGCAGAGTGTATGGGCATGTCATTTATCGCCTTTTCGAGTCAGTTGGCATCAGGATAATATCAGATAGGTGTGTGTCTACCAAATTCTGTCTCTCTCTCATAAAAAATTCATTTAGGTCTTTGACTCTCAGTCTGGTTAGTGATCGCTAAAAATCAAGTCATATTGGGACTTGAGTAGCTCATTTCCTTGCTGTCATCTGTGTAGGATCCATCCCATTTAAGTAGGGGCCCAATACTGGATATTGTTCTCAACTTTGATTTGGCATAAGAAAAGAAATGCTTTGGGTTTCTTTCAATTTCATTTATGGCTTTTAGTTCTTCCCACATTTCTTGATTCCTGTAAAATTCCTTTAGCTTCAGTTCGATGTTTCCTATTTCTCTGACCAGTGTCTTCCTACGTATTGCAGATATATTGGCCTCTTGTAGCCACTCTGTTATTCTTTGCCTTTGCCTGTATAGGGAGCACCTTTCTCTTTCTAGTTTATATCTTCTCCTCCTTTTCCTTAAGGGAATTTACCTTGAGCATACCTCAAGTGCCACAGAGTTACTTTGTTCTAGACATAGGTTAGGATCTGTGTTGCTTAGGCTATCTTCCCAGTTTATATAATTTAGGACTTGGTTCATTTGGTCCCACCTTATGTTTAGGTTACTGAAGTTGAATTTGGTGAAGGCTCCCTCGTGACTGATCACATTTTGTCAGTCTCCCCCTCCCCCCCCATACATATCTGGACCTCTATTATATTGTGATCTGAGAATATTGTTTTTGATATGATGACATTTCATATCAGATCATCATTGTTAGTGAAGATGAGGTTCAGCTATTCTCCAATCTTGTAGGCTCTATTATTTGCTGATTTAAGGAGAATTTGGTGCAGAGATTTAAAAGCTAGTGTGTGTGCGAGTTTTCATCTGAGCTGTCTCCTGGTGTTATCTCTGCTAGAACATTATTTGCTATATTCCTCTATTTTAGGTGCCTTAGGTTGAAATCCCTCAGGAGCAAGATGTTGGGAGCAGGAGCTGAAAGATTTTTCAGAAAGTGGTCAATTTTCAAAAGCTGCTCCTGGAATTCTTGAGACACTGCATCCGGAGGCTTGTAAACAACCATGATGACCAAGTTTTGGTTCACAATCTTTACTGCTAAAACTTCAACTACATCATTTGAGGCATTTAGCAGTTCTGAGCATATAAGTGACTCAGTGATATACAGGCCAAACCCCCCCCCCCCCCCCTCCTTCCTTTTGCCTGTTCACTCTGTCGCATCTGTATAGGTTGTAACCTGGGATCCATATTTCATTGTCCAAGTGATCCTTTATGTGGGTCTCTGTGAAAACCGCGAACATTGCATTTGACTCTGCAAGCAGTCCACTGGATGAAAGGTATTTTGTTGTTCATTGCTGGCTTTATACCCTGTATATTTGCAAAGATGAATGTTGTCAGATTGATGGTACTGGGGGGGATGGGTCTTTTTTCTTGGCACTAATACCTGTTGTTTTGGAGTGGAGGTCATCAGCTATGATTCCACTCCAGAAATGATTGGAGTTGATGTACGATTTCTGTCATTTCCTGCCAGCCCTTTTCCCTTCCTGGTGTAAAAAACTTCTCCCTCTGGAGTGGCTGTGGCTTCCCAGGTTTTTCCCATGATCTGGATGTTCTGTGTCTTCTTGTACCCTTTAGGTGGTGTGCCTGGCAATATAAGTTATAGCACTGTCTTTTTTGAAT